TCACCACTGTGTCCCCAATGTCCCTCATGGGCCTGACACCCAGTAGGTGTTCAAGAAAGGAAGAACCGACGGTCGAAGCAGCATCTTTCAGGTTCTGCCCTGTGCCCTCCTCAGATTTGGCACCGACTCCTAGGGATCCCAAGCAGCCCACTTTCCAGGCTGGGAAAGATACGTGTGTGTGTGTGTAGGAAGCAGGTCTGTTTTGAATTGAGAAGGTGGGGTGGAGGGAACCAAGGTGTTTTTTAGTGCCTACTGTCTGTATGTGGTATTATAGACACAAATACTACTTTACTGACGTGACACCCATTTGGAAAGGAAACGGAGGCTCAGTGTGGCTTCTCCAAGGAGACACAACCCATGTCCATCCCCCTCACCGGCCCTTCCATTTTCTGCCTAAAACCCAGTTGGCAACGAGAGGCCCCGCGCTGTGGGCAGCCGGGAGCAGGTGGCGCCAGGCAGGCTGCACGGGCCGGGTCCAGGGGGCTTGAGCAGTGTGATGGGAGGGCACCCCTTCTGGTGACTCTTGTCCCTCTGATGTGGGCTCTGTGTGTGGTTGGCTTTCTCTCCCGCCAGGTGCCATGTGGAGGTGGGAGAGGCTTCGCCTTTGGGTAAATGGGGTGGGAGGAAATGGAGCTTTTGAACTGGGGCCCACTGGCCTGCTCAAGGTTTTTTTTATTTTGGGGGGATTTTTTGTGAAATATGTAAAACAGTTTTTCCCTTTGAACCATTTTTAATCTTGCAATTGAGCAGCATTAATCTTTCTTAAATGTATGTATAGCTCACATTTATTTCAATGTTTAATATAAGTCTTTTTGGGTCTTTATTTAGAAGTTTGGTGATTTTTTTGTGTGACCAGAAATAAGCCATAGGAACTTGACTCTTGTACATATCAATTGGCCTGTGGTAAAATGTTTTCTTATACGTTGTTTCGAATCAGTTTTCTTATACATTGTTTTGCTTAAAGTCGCAGTTGCCAAGAACCTATAGATGACTGTAGAGTTAGTATCACTCTGAACAGAAATTCTGTATCCATTAAGCAATAACTCTCATCCCCCCTCCTCCCAGCCCTGGTAACCTCTAATTTTTTGTCTATGAATATGCCTAATCTAGGTATTGTATATACGTGGACTCATTCAGTATTTGTTTTGTTGTGTCTGGCTTATTTTACTGAACATAATGTTTTCAAAGTTCATCCGTATTGTAGCATGTGTTAGAATTTCATCCCTTTTTTACGGCTAAATTATATTCCATTGCGCAAATAGACCACATTTTGTTTATCCATTTATCTGGCAAAGTTTTTCAAAATGTAAATATTGTATGTTAGTCACCAATATTTTAAAATCTGGATATTTACATACTGTTTCAGATTTCCAGTTTCTTCTAAAAGCTTAGAATGCTTGGCCACATGAGGTCTGGGCTCCTGGCGCCTCACAGGTTCCATCTGCCCAGCTACTTTCCTTACGAAACTGGGGTGGCTTCTGTGTAGTGGGAGGGGGATGCCAGCGCCTGTGGCTCCCTGGCTGGGCAGCCCAGGTGCACAGCCCTGGGAGAAGGGCATTGGCACCTCAAGAGTCTGGGCCACCACCCTGGGCTTCTGAGCTGGGAATGCCTGCCCTTATATCCCCATTGCACCTGAGTCTCCTGCTCACTCAAGCCTGGGGAAGCATAGGGCAAAGGGGGTCCACACTCCTGGGAGAAAACCTGGTCAGGGGGACAGGTGGTTGGGGTGTTGCCTCTGGACCCATGCAGGGTATGGCACTGTGGAGGAGAAGGGGAGCCTGGGCCTCATCCCCGTGCTGAGTGCAGTGACACCTCACCATGGGCCAGGTGTAGTACCCATTGGCCCTCCTAGCAGCCCTCTCCTTCCAGAGGAGGAAGACAGTGCCCTCCAAGGTCCAGCAAGTGGCCTGTTGGTGGTGGGGTGCTAAGGCGTGAAGTGACCACGTGTAAGGTGGGCTAAGATAGGCACCTGCCAGAGCTCAGTCAGTTGGCCAGTATATGTCCATCCTTGCCTGGCAGAGGATCCTGAACCTCAGGTGTGGGGGCCTCTCCAGCAACAGGCCCTGCCCTAGTGGGTGGAGGGCAACTCTCAGTCCTGGGCCATGTGAAGGAGGCCTGACATGTCCCTGGGCATACCTCCTTCCTAGCAATGGAGGGAGGAGGAGGGCGGCTTTGAGCCAGGCCTCAAGGCTGACTGACATTTACTGAGCTGGAAGCAACATGGCAGGCAGGCAGCAGTGCCCAAGCCAAGTTCTGGAAAGGCAGGTCCAGTGGCAGCCAGTATAGTGGGACACGGGCTGGGAGAGGCTGCAGGGCTCATGGGACCAAGAACATACTGGGCAGGAGTCTGGACTCTATTCAGCAGGCTGTGGGGAACAGGAAGGTTATTGATCAGGGCAGTCTGTGCTGATCAGGCCAGTGCTGGAAAACAGTTGGGTGGAGACACATATGATGGAGGGAAGCTGGGGTGCTGAAGAGGGAGGGCAGCCAAGGAGATTGGGTGGGGTGGGTGTGGTCTGGAAGTTGGAGGGTGGTTGGTGGCCCATTGACTTTCATGTGGTTGAGGGATTCACATTTGCCCCCCAGGAGGGCCTGCACCTCGGTGGCAGTCACTGTGTGCCCAGTGGGGACCAGGCCAGCATGCAGTAAACACTGCTGGCTAATTTGGTCATTCCCCAGACGCCTAGATTGGTGCTGGAGATAACTGCCAGGAGAAAACCAGACCCATCTGTGACGGAATGGGCAGTGGGGTCCCCGAGGTAGCAGGACTGCCGGCCTGGGGACCTGGAGTGCAGCTTTTTGAGGGAGCGGTGGGGCAGAAGCTGGAGCTGCCCGGCAGGACGGAGGGAGCCGGGGCTGCGCAGAGGAGGGCGGGCAGCCTGGCCCAGGGGACCCGCGGCAGCCGAGGGGGAGGGGTGCCACTGGGCCTAGGCTTTTCCCATCCCCCTCTGCCCAGGGCCCCGGCTGCAGACGGGCAGCCCGGCCCCGCCCCCGGGCAGCCGGGAGACCGACGATTGGTTGCGGCTCTAGAGCCGCTCTGTCGCCATGGGGACGCTCTGGAGGTGCTGGTGCCCAGCGCCCAGCCCTGAAGACTCAATCTTCATAATCTGCAGGGTGGGGGTGGGGTTCTGCGCTGTGTGACCCTAGCCTGGGATGCGCTCTGGGTGCAGGTGCAGGTGCGGAGCCGCGCGGGCACCGGGCACCACTGAGAACCACTTGGTACTCACCTGATAGTGATCTGGGAGCTCGAGTGTAGCAGCTTCGGCCTTTGCTGTCTCAGCAGATCAAGCAGGAGGCTGGGGCTGGGTGAGGGAGAGGGGCCTGGAATATATCTGAAAATGTCTAGCCGGCCGGTTCAAGTCAGTCCTCCCGACGCCCTGGGCAGTGCTGCGCTCTCCCCAGCAGGGGGCGCCCTCGACAGAGCTTTGTTGGGCTGTCCCCTCATGAAAGCTGGGATGGCCCACTGAGGTGCAGGGCATGCAGACCCCATACCCTGCAGCACCAGGTATCCAGGGTTACTCTGCCATACACAGACGACAGATCTGGGTGGTGCTCTGTCTGTGCCCAGGCTGCCAGGATTGGACTGGGCCTGCTTGCAGGAGGAAGTGGGTAATGGGGGGTTACAGTGGAGCTATCCCTCCCTCCTCAGGCAGAGGAAGGAAAGATTCAAGGGTCTGCTGTGGGGAGGAGGTCCTGTGGGGAAAGGGTGTGAAAGGGCAAGGTTATAGTGAGCTGGGGGGGCACTGGCCAGACCCCAAACAGCCTCTGGGGTGATCAAGGACCTCTTGCAGGCAGTAGGCCGGTCAGACCTATGGTCACAGCCACTCACTCCCAGGCCCTTGAAGCTGGGCCTTCCATGAGCCTGAATGTGGCATTTGTGGGTGTGGAATGCAGGAGACCACCACACCCTGCATGCTCTGTGCCACTCTGATCCTGATGGGCCAAATTCATGGCAGAAGGACCCTGCCCCCACCTCTGGCAAGGCTAACCTCTTGGAATATCTTCAGTCTTCACCTCCTGCCCAGGGATGATTGACACAGGGCAAGTCCTCCCTGTGGCTATTGTGCCTACGATACCCCAGGGGGGAGGGATCTTAGGGGACGGTAGGTACTGGGGTGGGGTCTCACACCCAGGCCTCTTGTTTCAGACGACTCCTCCTCTGAGAGTGGCAGCGGCAATGGCTCCTCCACCCTGAACCCATCCACATCAAGCAGCACGCAGGGTGACCCCGCCTTCCCCGAGATGAATGGCAACGGTGCTGTGGCCCCCATGGACTTCACGGCCACAGCTGAGGACCAACCCATCAACCTGTGTGAGAAGCTCCCACCAGGCACAGCACTCGGCACGCCCTCCTACCCCTCAGAAAGCTGCGGCACAGATGGGCTGCGGAGCCGTGTCAAGTACGGGGTGAAGACCACCCCTGAGGTGCGTGGCGCTGCGGGCCTACCTGAGCCTGGACACTTCAGGGTGTGCAAGGCTCAAGTGAAGTTGTATGTGCCCAGAGTTGATGCCAAGTCAGGGTGGGGGCCATGGGTGCTATGCTATCATTTTCCTAGGGAGGCTCTGGTATGGGAGCCCACGCTGTGACCTCAGCAAGGCCCTCACTTCTCTGAGCCTCCGTCCCCATCTATGAAGTGGGGCTGATGGCCCTTGTCTTCGAGGAGGTGGTTGGTGATGTGTGGTGTGTCCCCTCCCACAAGACGGAGTCAGCTGTAACAGCATCAAACGGCCACAGCGCCCCAGGGCCACTCTGCAGGCCCACCCCCTGCATGGTACAGAAAAAGGGTGAGGCCTTTGTGGCACAAGGGATGTAGCTGTGGGAAACTCAATAGGCCAGGCTGATGGAGGGTGGGGAAAGGGCGGGCAGGGCAGGTGCCCCCCCATACTTATTTTTAGACAGGAAGGAGGAGAGAGAAACATCGAGGTGAGGTAGAGATACTGATCGGCTGCCTCCTACATTCCCCCTACCAGGGATCAAGCCTGCAACCCAGGCACGTGCCCTGCTGGCCACCCTTGGGTGCACGAGACAACGCCCAACTGAGCCACACCAGCCAGGCCACTCCCCCATACTTCTGGAAGCTGCCTCTGGGCCACTAAGGTTTCTTGCAGTGCAGCACTGGGTGCATGAGCACTCCTGGGAGCAGTTTCTCCTGCCAGGGCTGGGGGCCAGAGGTGCCTTCTCAGAGCGCTGTAGGTGTGGGCTCTAGCCACGTAGCCCTGCAGTTTCCTTTCCCTCCCTCGGCCTGTTTTCTGCAGGGGGATGGCGTGTTTCATGAGAAGATCCTGTACGAATGCCTGTGTTTAGTTGTCGCTGTGTGTCTGAGCTCTGATGTGGAGCTGTACTGGCCAGAGCATGGCCTCCCCTCTTTGGGTCTAAGGAAAAGGCATGGCCGCTGTCTCCACTGAGCGAAGCACTGGAGAGGGAGAGTTTGCCACCATGGCCTCAGGCCACATGTGTGGGCCCAGCAAGTGAGAGCATGAATGCCACCAACAGCTCTCATCTTAAGTTTCTCTGTCTCTGACTGGCTAAGGAGCAGTTTAGGAACGTGACTTGTACTCAGAGGATCTGGGTGTCTCCCCTTTAAAGTCTGTGTATGGATCAGGAGAAAGGCACAAGGCCAGTGGTTCTGGGGCAGCCAACCCCTGTGGGGATGGTCAGAGGGAGGCCTGATGGTGTCCATTTTCTTCCATTTGTTCGTCAACAAGAGCTGGGATTCCCTTCTGAACCACCATGTGGCCACATCGCAGGGTCTGACCTGCAGCTCTTTGTTTCCTGGACCCAGTTACCTGCTAGATGCCCACCACCTTGAGGACAGGAACCTTGTCCAGGACGCTGCTAGTCAGGTCCCAGTGAGTAAAGTCAGGACTCGCCAAAGAGCAAACTTTCTAAAAGGCAATGACAGTGTTCCTCAGGTGGGAGGAGAGTGGGGAGTGCATTCCAGACTTGGGTGGTGGGGGAGTAGAGGGCTGGTTCCCTTCTCTGCTCTAGGACCCAGTGAATGCCCCATGCCCTGCGCTACACCTGGTCCCCTCTCCCGCTCTGCATACTCCCATTCCGCATCGGGGCTCACAGTGTCTTCCTTTGGAGCGGGGGGAGTGGCAGACAGAACCCCAGCCTAGAAGCTTTGGGAATGCACTCTACCTAACAGACCTGTTGCCTTGGCTGATTCCCTCTCCCAGCCCATCTGTTCCTCCCCAACAGACAGTGCACTGGCTGCTTTTGTGACAGCTCGGTTGTCAACTCAGGGATGCAGCCCCTTGGGGATCAGGGAGAAAACCTGGAAGTCAGAACAGATCTTGGCACAACCAGAAGAGGCTGGCTGTTGGTGGGAACCCTTTCTGTGTCTGCCTTTCCCTCACACAACGTGGCAGGTCATGGTGTGGACACTGCTGCTTAGTAAACCACTAACACTCTCAGCTCAGGGCCTCCAGGACACCAGACCTCTGCGTGAACTGTTATAGGCATCCTTCCTACAGCCACCCAGGGAGGGGGTGGCAGTGTAGCTGTCCCCAGTTCACAGATGAAGGGAAGGGAAGATGACTTGCTCAGGGCCTTGCAGCTGTGGCTCATGTGGCAGTTGGGTGTGCTTGCTGTCCGTTTCCAAGCTCACTGTGGCTGTCGGAGTTGACGAGAAGGCCTGGCCTGACTACACTGCCCATCCTCTCTCAGTCCCCCCCCTACAGCTCTGGGAGCTACGATTCCATCAAGACCGAGGTCAGTGGCTGCCCTGAGGACCTGACTGTGGGCCGGGCTCCCACAGCAGATGACGATGACGATGACCATGACGACCACGAGGACAATGACAAGATGAACGACTCTGAGGGCATGGACCCTGAGCGTCTCAAGGCCTTCAACGTGAGTGCCAGTGAGGGGCAAGAAGGGTTGGGGCAGCAGCCAGGGCCAGCCCTTCCCACAGCCTGTCTCTCCCACAGATGTTTGTGCGTCTCTTTGTGGACGAGAACCTGGACCGCATGGTGCCCATTTCCAAGCAGCCCAAGGAGAAGATCCAGGCCATCATCGAGTCCTGCAGCCGGCAGTTCCCCGAGTTCCAGGAGCGGGCCCGCAAGCGCATCCGCACCTACCTCAAGTCCTGCCGGCGCATGAAGAAGAACGGCATGGAGATGGTGAGCCCCTCCTGGCCCAGCCCGTCGTTCTTGCACTGGACAGACCTCCAGCCCACTCCAGGATTGCTGGGCGTCCCCTTGGCCAGACACTTGACCCATAATCCTCCCAGTGTCCTGGAAGCAGGCACCATGATCCCTGTTTCACGGGAGGGGGCGGGGCTGAGGTTCCTAAAGACAGTACAGCTCCACAGATAATGGCGCCAAAGCTGACCCCAGCCCTGCACTATCCACCTTTATGGCAGGGTCTCTGTGTGAGCCCAACAGTGCTCTGTCCCTGTTCCGCCTACAGACCAGACCCACCCCTCCCCACCTGACCTCGGCCATGGCAGAAAACATCCTGGCAGCTGCCTGTGAGAGCGAGACGAGAAAAGCAGCCAAAAGGATGCGCCTGGAGATCTACCAGTCCTCCCAGGTATGTGCTCACTACCAGCCACTGTCACGGGGTTGCTCCCAGGCTGGTGGGCATCAGCCATCTCACAGACATGGGGGCCCCAAGTGCAAAGGCACCTGCAGTCCTCAGAGGGTGGCGGAGCTACCAAGAGGGCAGCAGTAATGGAGTGAGATGGGGAGGAGCCTGGTCACCAAGGCCCTGCAGGCCCTAGGAGGGTTTTCAGTGGGGGCGGGAACAATCAGACCCGTCCCACAGAGAGGTGAGCAGAGCCAGGAGGCCCTGGGCGAAAGAACCAGGGAGAGGGAACAGTCCTGCAGGATGCAGCACTGGGTCCCAGGAACTCTGGGGCCACAGCCTTTGTGCCCCTGTCCAGGGACAGTGGCCAGGGCTTGCCACTGGCTCCCCAGTGCCTCCCTTCCCCTTGCAGGACGAGCCCATAGCCCTGGACAAGCAGCACTCCCGGGACTCCGCAGCCATCACCCACTCCACCTACTCACTGCCAGCCTCCTCCTACTCCCAGGACCCCGTGTATGTCAATGGTGGCCTCAACTACAGTTACCGAGGTTATGGGGCCTTGGGCAGCAACCTGCAGCCCCCTGCCTCCCTGCAAACAGGAAATCACAGTAATGGTGAGTGTGGGAGACTACAGCCTTGGGAAGGAGGAAAAGTAACTCCATGGCACAGGGACCCTCCCCATCTCATAATCTTAGCCAGTCTCTAGATTGGAAATCCAGGGAAACTTCAGCTGATTAAAATAAAACCTACCCTCCTCTCCCAGGAGGTGTGCTTCCTTCATTGCACTGGGGGGCCTCTCTCTGGCTCTGCTCCCCCTCGTGGCCATTGTGAGCTAAGCACTAAGTTCCATGCAGCCAAAGCCCTGCCTGTTCCCCGAGTGGAATCCTCTCCATGCCCCATTTTACCCACCCTGACCAAGGCTCAGTGAGGTGGGGCAGGTGGAGCCAGGACTTGGCCCAGTTCAGTTGTAGCCTCAGCTCCAGACCTTACTTGTGAGATGAAGGTTCTTACACCCCATTGCAGGGCCTCAGCCCTTGTCCCAGCTAGGTCATCCAGCGTGGTTCCCCAGGTGCTCCCCTGTAACTTCCCAGGCGACTCTGATGCCGACTAGACCTAGACCAGTACTGGGGAAACAATCCCTGAAAAGATACAAACCTCCCCGTAGAGTTAGGTGCTGCCCTGAGTGGGGAACTGGAGTGGAGATCTCGGGGCCATTCACACTGAGGCCAGGGTGGGGGTGGGGGGCAGGGGAATAGCAGGTCCCGTTGGTGGAAAACAGTCTGGTGGCCTTGGGGAGCTGGCAGGGGTGGCTGGGGTGATCTCTTGGGCCAGGCACTTGGATTTTTGTTCTGTTTGCAATGATTGATAGATTTTATGAATTGTACTCTGTCTGCCCGCGATGAGGTTTGAAGGGGAGGGGAAGAGCTGGGGGTGGCACCAAGTTGCTGCTTGAGGAGTAGGCTGGAGGCAGGTGCCAACCACAGGCCAGGGAACCCTGGTTCTAGGTCTTGGCTGAGAACATGCCTGAGAATTCCTCTCAAGCCCTTGGCTGCAGGAGACCCTTGGGTGTTCCTGGGCAGTGAGGGACTGGTCCCTACCCATGGCAGAAAGCCCAGGCACCTTCCACTCACCTTGACCCCACCAGGAAGTGTGTGCAGGTCACTAGAAGATTCCTGCCTGGGCTTAACTTCTCATCCCTTCGTAATGCCTCTTAACCTAAAAATACGAGGCTGTCTGGTCCTAATCCCTGAGACTGAGGGGTGGGATAGCTGTCCAGGCAGCTGCTTTCCTTCTAGAAAGAGCCATCTGGCAGCCCTGCTGAGTGGGGACTCTGTTAGTATGTGTCTGAAGACAGGTCCCAGGGCAGGGAGGTAAGAGCCCCTCATACACAGGGAGCCTGGAGCCCAGTCCTTCCTAGGCAGCAGGCAATGGTGATAAGCCTCCACCTGGCGCCAGGAGGCATGGCCTGTCTCAGGGCTGCAGCTGCCAGGGCTGCTCCTGCCTCTTAAGAGCACCGGGCCTGCTGCTTCCCTGCCCTCTTCACACCCGCCAGAGAGGCTCTGAGGGAGGTCACTGGCTCTGCCCTGGACCTCCCCAAGCCTCAGTCTCCCGTCTGTGAGCACCCTGGTTCCTTGGAGGTGGGTGGCAAGATCACTGAGAGAGATCTGCTGATTTACCTCCTCGCCTTGGGCAGTGTGTCCTGTGGGCACTGGGCTTGAGTCGAGGAGTTGGAGAGTAACTAGCAGCCGCGTGTCTGCAGGGGTCCCAGTCCCACTCCCCCCCAACCCTCTAAATGACTGTTTAGGCAGTTTGGCAGCCATACCAGCGGCTCAGAGCTCCTCACTGTGCTCTTTAGGTTGTCGCCTGGAGATGCAAATCAGCTTAGATAGGATTGGCTCCGCCTGCCTTGCCTAGTGTGCTAGGCTACTCACGCTGCCCCTCCAGCAGCCACCTGGCAACCTGAGCGTCCTGCAACCAGAGCCGGAGGGAGGATAGCTCCAGATCAGATTGGCCGCAGGAAACAGGAACTTTCTCCTTTCTAGGCTGTAGCTAAAGTGGAGGAGAGATGAAGGGCAGCTCTGAGCACAGGGTGAAGAAGACAAGACTTGGGATGGAGGGAGGAAAGAGAGGCTTAAAGCCCAGGGCCAGCTCACAACCTGTGGCAGACGGCTCCAGCCTTCCTCTACCACCTCCAAGCGTTGTGTGGAGGGGACAGGGAACCACACCCCCCCTTCCCCTCTGGGTCCAGCCCCTGCAGCATCCAGGAGTCAGCAGACACCCCTGCTCCCTCCTAGCCTGTTTCATTTTGATCACCAATCAGTCACCTGCTTGGCTGCTGATTTCAGCAAGTTGCAGCCCTGCTCCTTCCTCCTGGTTTCATTTTAACAGACTTAACTGTTCCCTTGACTCACAATTCCAAGGATGTTCCTTAGCAAGGTTCCTAGGACCTCCTTCCTGATGTCCATGTTCTCTAGAGAGAAAAATAACCCCATGTGACAAACCGTCCCATCTTAGACTCCAACTTCCTTCCCCATTTGGGCTCTGCACCAGCTTCCTTTTAGTAGCAGTCTAGCTTTCAATATTTCTCTCAAGATGTTACTTCTGGTGTAGGTGTCTGCAATGACAAGAGCTTGTCCATCTCTCTTTATAGCAGCATTAAAACTGCCCTGTAAATGCAATAATGAATGAAACCGCTATCAGAGCCTCCAGGGTAGTAGGGAGATGGCTGATAATCGAGAACAGCCTCACACACCATGTAAGATAACCTCTGCATAGGGGCAGTGGGGGATGGAGCAGGACTGACCTAGTTGAGTCAGAGAAGGCCTCCATAAGGAAGCACCAGCTCCCACAGCCCCAGATTCTCACTTCTTGGATATTTTCTTAATGAGCACCTCAAAAGAATGCTTTTCAAATTTCAGGAGGATCCATGTCTCCTGAGAACCCATTCAGGGAGCCTGACACCTCTCTGAAAGTCCTTTCCTGGTGGGCCTGTGCAGGCCATGCACGGGTTTCACAGGCATGGCTCAGCCCCACAACAGCCTCCTCATGTTGCAGATGGGGACCTAGGCTCAGGGAAGTTGGAAAATGGCCTTGGAGTGGCAGAACAGGCCTCAAGCCCAGGCAGGCCTGGTTCCAAAGCCAGTGGCCCACCCTTTAGAGCTGCTGGAAAAGGCGGAAAGGAACCGGCCTGGTGGGCCCCCAACACCCCTTCTAGTATACTTCAGAAGATGTCAGGCTTCCTCTTTCCTGCAAAAGGAAGGTGACTCCTCCAGACAGCACTTCTGGGTCTGGTCCTGACCATTCAGACCCGCACACACCTATTCCACTCTCTCCTGTCCCAGCAGAATTAACCTGCCCCACTTGGATGCAGAAGACCTCAGAGTGAGGGGGACTCAAGGCTCCGCAACTCCTCAGAGATGGGCTTACAGCCCCTGCCGTCTGCTGTGCTGCAGTCAGTCTTGGCCCCACCTCTTTCCCACAGCCGAGCAGGCAGCTGGCCTTTCTTGCTTCTCTCCAGCCTGACTGCAGCCCCTTCCCTGAGCGCATGCATACATATGGGTGCTGGTTTTCCTGGTCTTCTGTGGCTCCACTCTGACTCTGGGACTGCACACTCGTCCCTCTCAGGGGTCAGGCCTCTGCTTACCTGCATCTTGACCCCCACCTCTGCTGACAGGCACCCTATTGGGGAAGGATCACATACACACCTGTACCTCCACCAGACACACTGACAGCCTTCTTCTCAGGCACAGTCAGTTGAAGCTCTGCTCACCACACTGGGGAGTCGGGGAAGTTCCTTTGCCTTGAGGTGTCCTCTTCACTTGGAGACCAGAGCTGGGTTGTGTGCCTGTTGGGGGAGCACCATCTACCTGATGGTCCTCAGAAGGCAGGGTGTGATCAGTGCCAGGGAGCCCTGTTCCCCACCTGACACCAAGCCCATGCCCTTGTCCCATGCCACGCCGCCCTGAATGCAACACCATGTGTACATGGGATCTTGGTAAACCTCACAACTGCCAGCCTCAGCTTCTTCCACCTGTCACATGGTGATGACAGGTTTCCTCCCTTGCAGGATCACCCTGAGGGTTAATAGAGAACCCCATGTCTCGTCTCCTGGTCCCAGGCCCCATTCTAGGCCCCTAAAGGTACAACTATCAAAATAGACAAGGGCCTCAGGCCCAAGTGCCTGACCCCCAGCAGGCCCCAAGGACAACAAAGGATGACAGCACCTCCCAGGTGCCAGGCAAGGTGTCCACTCCCTCACCCTCCCCTTCCTTTCCACAGGGCCCACGGACCTCAGCATGAAAGGTGGGGCCTCCACCACCTCCACCACGCCCACACCCACGCCCTCCAGCAACAGCACCAGCAGGACCATGCCCACCGCCCAGCTCAGCCCTACAGAGATCAGTGCTGTGCGGCAGCTCATCGCTGGCTACCGAGAGTCTGCTGCCTTCCTTCTGCGCTCAGCAGATGAACTGGAAAACCTCATTTTACAGCAGAACTGACCCCAGCGGCACCTGGAGTGCACTACCCTAGGGAAGGAGGCTGTCCTGGCCCAGACCCAGCTTCCTGCCTCACCAGTTGGTACATTTCGTTTTTTGAAAGAGGTGGGATCCAAGAGAGCTGTTTCTAGCCACACTCCAAGCACCTGAGACTTTGGGCACAAGGACACTTTTTTTTGGAATCTCACCACACGGGTGCTCTGACCTGCTTGGAAGAGGCCAGTGGGGCAGCTTTGGAAGGGCTGGGCTCCCTTGACAGGGCACTGGGGCCACGGCTCTATTTAGTATCATCTTTGTGGACCCTGATGTTAGAATCCCACTCCCAGATAATTACCTTTCAAGTCTTAGGTGAGCAAAATTGCATATTTATTGAGAAAAACAAAGTGGACCCTTTCTTCCTCTCCCCTTAGTAATTTATTTTTCTGAAAATGGATTCTTTTGTGTTTGTACAGATTGCCAGTCTGTGTCTGTCTGATCAGAAGGATGTCTCCCTGTAACCTAACATTCCATATCACTACACTGGCGTGGGCGGGGGGCCAGCAGGGCAGGGTTGTGGTGGGACAGGCGCCAGGCGCGCTGTCCCTCTGAGTGCCCAGCACACCAAGCAGGAGGACCTCACCCACACCCACTGCAAAGCAAAGACAAACACACGGCTCTCCCCAACCAAACCAATTCCACAGAAGCCCCAGCCATGGCCACCTGTATTCTACCTCACACTCCGGCAGGGCTTTCTCCAGGATGTGCCCTGAACCTGTTCTGAATGGCTATCTCCCAACTCCCCCACACAGTGTGTCTGCCTGGGAGGTAAGTCCAGATGGGTGGCAGGAGCAGCCGGAGCCTACAGAGGGCCCCAGCCCTCCAAGCTGCAAGACAGGACAGAGCACTGGGAGATGGCAGCCAGTCAGTAGGGTCCTGGCCCTCACCCTGCCCCCAGGGAGTCAGGTTGAACATTTCTCCGCACAGACCCAGGGCCCTCAGATACCTGCTGGGAAAAGCCCATTTCTTCAGGGTGAGCCCCCAGCCGACAGGCAGCCACTGAACAGGAAAGACAGCTGTGAGCTCCTGGGCCGGCTCTGTCTCTGTCCCCTGTCCCCATGGTTGAAATTAAGGGACCATCAACAACTGGAGTAGCCACTTGGGTCCTCCTAAGACCAGCCCTTCTTCTGGAGGGACCAGTCCTAGAAAAAAGCTATAATCCCTGGAGTGTGAAAAGAGACAAAGAGAAAAGGCTGGCCTGGTTTCCTTCCTCCCGATAGGCACTTCCTCTTGCTCAGTGCAATACCTACCAGTGCTGCTAAAACCAGGGATTCGCCCAGACCTCAGAAGGCCCACGAGGCCTCTCCATGCAACACTCCGTAGCCATGACAGCAGCCCTCTGCTGCCCGCCCCTGCCCAGAGCTGGCAGAAGCCCTCTGTTGCCTTTCCTCCCTCAGAGCAAAGAGGCCCCAGGGGAGCCAGGGCTGAGTGGACCCTAGGACGGCCACTGAGAACGGCCTGACCCCAGAATAGGTATCCCTTCTCAAACCAGCTCCTCTGCAGCTGTGGCAGACCACCCTCAGGAGGGCCGGGGATGGGGCTCCAACGTGGGTGTCCCACCCTGCCTCAGGTCCAGAAACTGAAAGGCAGGTGCCCCACTCCGTGCCTACTTCCAGCCCCTAGAGGTTGGGGGTGGTCTTTTATCTCTCAAGTGGCCTCCAACACCCTATCCCACCACACCACCTCTGCCTTGCACCTGACCCATCCCCAGGCCTCCGGTCGGGGCCAGGATACCTGAGACCCCCTTAGCACAGCACAAACTCCAGTGCCCAAGGCCTCTCCCACACCCAGCCATCCACATGCCCATCCTCTACCTGCTCAGTACACTCCCTGACGTTTGAATTTGTGTAAATATTTATTTTTGTGTGTGAACAATATTACAAAGTAATCAGTAGATCTTTTGCAAAATGTTACCCCAGGCAATTTGTGAAATCTTAATGTTAAAAACTGGCAGAGACAATCGCCGCCTTAGAATTCATGGTATCAATTGCTTAACGTCATTTCTCCTCCCAGAGGCAGTGCCCAAGCCAGGCATGAACAGTTTGCTTTTAACAGACAGGAGTGAGGAGGACTGGGGAAGGGGCTCCTGCCACCACCACACAAGGGATTAGACCTAAAGATCACATAAGCTACAGTTTGAAGTCACATTTTTCTGAGTTCAGGCTGCTCTAACTCTGACCACCTTCAGCCGACCTAATACTGCGGTAAGAGCTGAGGTTCAATGTGTGTTAAAAAGAACACCAGTGGCACTAGTCCACAGGGGCTCCCAGAAGCTCCTCCAGGACGGATTCTGAAGGGGGGTCCTTCCCAATGGAGCTACACCAGAAGCCCTGGAGATGGCAGCATTAGGAGCAAGTTACTATGCGGAAACAGGATTCCATTAGCTAGTTCAGTCAGGGGGCATGTTCTGTTTGGCTTTTGTTTTAAAAGATGCAGCTTCAACCCCACCCCTCTCCTCCTGACTTGGGAGAGCACCCAAGAGCTGGTTCTGCTGAACCTCGCTTCTGTCCCACCATCACCCCAGGGACAGCCTTCTCCCAAAGCCCTGCCCCACAACCAGTTAAAATTCTTATGGAGGGAGGGCCTCAGCACAAATTAGTCATTTGGAATCCAAAGTAAAAGGTGATTCGAATGGAACACACCAATTCCAGAGTCTTTGCAGGGGCCTAATCCTGAGAGAAGGGAAGGGCAGAATCCAGAGAATGGGGATTGGTCTTCGTGGCGGGTCATCTAGTAAACCAGAAATCGTGTAGCGCATCTAAAACTCATTTACCCTTACCACGCGTACAAACAGACAGCGTACATCCAAGAACAGCATGGAAGGGGGCAGGCAAGGGGCTAGGAGGGTTTTAGAGGACTTCAGACAGGTGGAAGCCAGCCATCCCTATTCCCGAGGGCCACTTACGACTCCAGGGGTGGTTACTGGATTAACTACCAGTTCATTTTCAAAATGCTGCTTTGAACTCAGAGGGTTGATACATTTAATTTGTAATTTTTTGTAAAACTTTTTACAAGATAGTAAAGTATTTCACCAGAATACCAGTTTCAATCCGTCCATGGTCTGATTTTTATATAATTTAGTGGTGCTTTAGAAACTTTGTTTTTGTTGTTTCTGGGCTAAACAGCTCAATCTTTTTTCGCCTGTATCTACCTAAGACCAATGTGAACCTTTGTATTTTTGCTCCTAATTTTGGACTCAGTGAAAGTGTACTGTTTACATGTACAGATGCCCCAGTCCCTGTGTGTTCTGCAAGACTCGCTCTTGAGGAGGAAGGTGCACCTCACTAAGCTCATCTGCTTAGCAAAGCCACAAACAAAAACCTCTCACTTTTTACCTATGTTTCCACCTAAAGACAAAAAACTTACACCACACAGTACTACTCAGATTTACTGAAACACTTTTCTAAGCCAGAAAAATCTCTGTGCAGCAGATGGCCCGAATTCATCTGTCTACATGTGGTCCATTTAGAAGCAGGCTCAGAACAGAGACCTCCCGTGGCCATTGGTGGGTGACTGCACGGACAGATGAAAAGTGAAAGCAGGACGTGGCTGCAGAGCTGTGGGATAGATACAATTCTCCAAGCAGCCTGGGAATGGGAAGACTCGTGACCAGGGTCAAGCCATCCAGGATTTAGGGACAACCCACAGTCATCAGTCCTCTGGCATAATTCAGACAGGTTTTGGAAGAGCGCGAGTTCCCTACCTGGGCAAGATTTTAAGAGTCTCCAGTGCAGATGGCACGAGCATTTCTTCAGGGTTCCCCTGGAGGTAGCTGGTACATGAGGCATCACCTCTGGGGAGGAGAGGGATCCAGATGGTAAGCATATGGCACTTAAGGCAAACAGTGGATGGCACCAACTTTTAAAGGTGACTCTTTATTACTTAATCAATGGCTTCACCTCTAAATTATATTTTTACAGATATGCACCTATGCAACTTAACGTGGCTCTTCTAAGCAGGTGAGAACTTCCTCTTCAATGCTCTATAAAAATTCTTTGTGTTCTATATAGTGAGTTTTTCCAGTAAATGTGGCTTAATATTTTAATTCTTAGACTGTGTCTTCTCTATGTGATGCAACTAAATTCTGTTTTGTTTGTGGAATGACTAGCACAGGCCAACTCCCTCTCCCCTCACTTAACAAAAGACCAATGAGCTGTTAATCGAGCTGTTATCTCCATGGTATTACTTGCTAAATGCACTGATTTCATAAGTATGTGGAATCCTTCTTCTTTTGAATCTGTATATCATATATAAGACTGAATCTACTTAATAAACACTGAATAACAAACTGAATGCTTCATTTCCACTGTGTCCTCTCAATAGCAGCGCTGCCAGCTACACCTCTTCCTCCCAAATCTAGTTGAGCGCTGAAACACCTTTCTACTAGTAGATTCCACCTTTTCCTGGCCAAAAAGCTAGCACACAGAAGGTCCTCAGTAAGTTTTCCTCAACAAAGGAATTTGTCATTTCCTTCGGCACCTAGCCGGTTAGAAAGGGAAGGAGATGAATCTTTCCTGGTGTTCGACAATCTCGCAGTAATATTCCCAGGGAGATGCCCTTGCCTCCACTTACAGGTGAGTTAGCAGGGGCACACTGGAGGCACACCTCACCTCGATTCAGCCAGTGACGAAGCCAAGTCTTAAACTCAGCTGTTCACCTGTAAACTGCACCCTTCCCACTCCCCTCGCCCCAGTGCGCAGCTCTTCAACCAAGAGAAACCAAACTCACCTAACAGCCCCAAGTGCTGGCTTGGGAAACTGAGGAAACACTATCGCTGGTCCTGAAGCTTCACTCTTGACATTACACTAGACACAAAACCCTGGATCCACCTTGAAGGAAACAAAAGGGCTGCTTTTCCAAAGATGTTTACTTGCGCACAGATGTTTTTCATCCTATATATATATCATTTAGGTTAAACTTTAAAGGAAAACTTGCAGGAATATGGGTAGGAACAACACTTGTCATGAGTTTAAAAACAATTTTGACCATAAGTTAAATGCATAAACATGTTTTACTGTTAAAATTGTGTCTGTACACACACACACACAGAAATTGTTTTCAAAAAATTTTTTGTAATAGCAGAAGAATCTTTTGAAAATAGAAATTCTATGCAGCTGCCAAATACATAAAATAAAAGGAGAGAGGCCAATAGTTTGAAGCACTGTACCCAGGGAGTGCACTCTGGGGCTAAGATTCATAACGATAATACCAAGTACAGTCAAAGCAGGTGACCCTCAGGACCCTATCTTTTCACTCACACATGGGGACCACAGGTAGAAAATCCTCACATGAAAACTATCCTAGTGAATCTGCTGCTGCTGAGAATCACCAAGGGAACATAAACCTCACAACCTGGGACAACACATCCAGACTCCTGACCAGCCACGTGCAGACCGTGCTGGTCGACTGGGACAGCACTTACCTCAGGTGAAGCCGCAGCTCCGCAGTAGCGCTGGGATCCTGGGATCCAAGAGTTGGAGGGCGAAGCACTGCTTGGTCCCCATTTGGCTGCTTTAATGGAGCTCCCGGCCACTGCTGTTAACAGCGCAAAAGACATCAAATGGCAATGCCCCCTTAGAGCAGGGAACACAAGTTTACAGTGACCAAACAGGCCACCCTCACTTTCACTCAGTGATGAACAGGGAAGAACACCCATACACTACAGGAAACGGAACCTGGAGCAACACTGTAGTTCATCCGACACACCTGACCTCTTGCTGGCCATTTACCCAAATTATAATACAAAAAAAAAAAAGAGAGAGAGAGAGAGAGAACTCAGTTTTAAAAATACAAAACTGATGGGGCTGCAAATATCACAAAGGCTGGTAAACTTACGGAGCCGGTGTACATGGCAGAAGTGGCCATGATTTTATTTTCAATTCTGACCTTTTAGAGATCTGAATTTAGATTGTGTTTCATGACATCTCACAGTAAGTAAATCCCAGTTCCCAGAAATGCTAGTTAAATCCTATCATACATAAATATACCATCACAGCAGAAAATAGGCAAAGGGAAAATCTCCAAGTCCTGGTTTCCGGCTCATTTACTTCAAGAAATATTAACAAAGATCTTCCATTTGTGTAGCCCCAATACAGGGAGACAATTATAACAGGACCTGACTTAAAGCAGCATAACAAACCTTGACAAAATAAATTCTGAAAAAAGAAACAAAAAAAACACACACGCCACTGCATTTTTAAAGTAATTTAAAATGCACTATGGGAGTTTAGTAGTTACCAGAAACCTAAGAATCCTTTGCAAAGTCACCTCTCCCCTCCTTGATCTTTTGTCATAAACGCAGATTAGGTTTATCACCAGTCAGGGGCTCTTAAATGAGGGGCCCCAGCTGCCTGAGCTCTTGGGCCATCTGAAACAGTATGCACAACTCCACGGGCATGCGCATTCCTGGGGGGAGAGAGCCCAGGCCTCCCATCAAGCTCCCTCAGTCCGTGTTCCCAGAAAGGCCAACCGCCACGCCCTGGCAGCTTTGCTACTCTTTTTTTTCATACACCTTCTGTCCACACCTTTAGGTAGTTAAGAGATGTTCATTCCAGGCTTTCAAATGATCCACAGAGATAAGAGGAAGCATAAGGCACCGTCAAGGTTTGGTCTCCACTATTACTCTAAGGCCATAAAGCCACCTTCTTGGTCACTTTAAACAGCAACAACACAAGAGGGCAACACAGCCTGTGCCACCTCCTCCCAGGGCACAGGGCAGGCAGATGCTTGCCCCCCTGAAGCCCCTGATATAGGAGGGCTACTGTATTAAGCACATGCACTCCTCTCAGGCAGGGTCTTTCTCAAGGGCAGGTTGGACATAAAGTAACACCTCAGAAAGGCCAGTAAGGTATTTCCATATTCTGACACATTAGGCTTCCTTGTCCTCTGGACCATGAGTGAAATGTCTCTGCTACCACTCCAGTTCTAAACTCGGTGTATTCAACTGTAGCATGAGGCCACGAGCCAGATGTCCACTTACAGACCCACCCCTCCACAGCTCCCCTCTGGGGTGAGAGCCAAGCAGGTGGCAGGAACTCTAGATTTCTACCAAAAACTCACATAGTGAGTCTAGTTTGGTGCAAGCTAACAGTCTGGAGTACTTACTATGTGCCAGCCCCTAATAACTTTATGATGTAGGAACTACTAGCCTCATTTAGATGGAAAGGTTGGCAGAGAGGCTGAATAACTGACCCATTCACAGTGCGGGTAGGTAGCAAGCCTGGCTCTAACCCACCACACTTCTGCCTCCCTGATGAGATGCAGCTCTGGATCCTACTGCATTCTAAACTCCTGCAGACTCAGTACACACCTTCGGCACCAGGCCACGGAGCCCAACAGAACTTCACCTGCACCTGCAGCACCAAGAAACTGCAGTTTGAACTGCCCCCAAAGGTGCTCCACCACACAAAGCCTATTTTCTCCAACTCACAGGCAACAAATCAACAGGTCCTTTTAGTTCATCTTTACTTCCCATGTTTCCTTTTTTTTACTTTTGGCACACTTATATACTAAGATGGATCCTGCCAAGCACAAAATCATGTATTTCAGTACTCCAGGTAAGCCTGAGGACTGAGAAGTCAACCCCTGCAGGCTGGCATTCACTCCGCCTCACTCAAGTAGCACCAGGCCCCACTGTGTGCCAGCACCTCCCTTACTGCTTCCTGCTGCTGCGCAGATGCCTGTGCTCACAGCCGTTCAAGGTTGGGGCGGTCCACCCCCCCACAGGTCACCAGCCATTAGCCAGCTCTGAGCAAGGTCTCAGCAGCAGTGGAGATGAGCTTCCTCATCACGTTCATCACTGTTTCCAGAGCAGTGGGCAAGTTCGCCAACTCACCCAGTCTAAGACCAGGGAAATCGCCAAGTTGTGCCTTTAGGTCTCACCTCACAAAGCAGCCCCTATGCCACGCGAGCTCGAGCCAAGATGAGCGAGCTGGCATTTGCTCCTTCCATGCAGCGTCTACACTCCAGCCTGACCTTCCTCCCCACCCCAGCGGGGCAGCCACAGAAGATGACCGACACCAAGTGCAGGTTGTACAGGTTTATTTTTCCAATACCACAAGAAACATACAAGAGCAGTGCTTTCCCTGGGCAGCCCCATGGACCAAACCAGTTTCAGACTGTACCCTAGAATGGCCCCAGCAGTCACGACTGAAGGAAGAGGAGGGTTGACCCGCTTGGACCTCTGCTCCCTGTCTTTGGTAAACAGACTCTTGAAGTTGACAACTTGGACTTGGCCAATACTGCACTTAAACCACCACATCATTGCCAACTTCTCACTCATGCTTCAGATGACAAAAATACCACACTGGATGAAATGGGGAGGGGACCTCTCAGATAAAGAGATCTGAAGAAGTCATACCAACTTTTATACTTCACACATAAGCACTCACACAGGGAGACTGAAGTTAAACAAGGACTCAACTCTGCAACAAGTCAAGGTACAAGAAATAAGGCAGGAAGCAGGGTGAGAAAAGACAGCTATGGAGACATCTGTTAGAAATGTGTTAGGAGAGAAGCAGGCAGCAGGCCTGCCTGTTTCTTCCCCTACCTGTGGTCAAGAGTATGTCAAAAGGAGCCCTATGGCCCCGGGAGAGCATGGTCCCAAGTATTACTGACAGGCGGTGGCCCTGGAGCCAGGTCTAGAAAGCCTACCTGGGCGCTTCCCAGGGCACTCACCCTTGCATTCAGAAGCACTTAACACTGGTGGTGGTGATTTGTCACATATGGCAGTGAGCAGCCAGTGAAGGTTGGAGAAGAGATGTGAGGAGCAAGACACATTTGCTCAGTAGTGGGCAGGCAGACTAACTGGCTCTGCAGGCTGCAGCAGGTCCCCCGGGTGACCCGTGATAGGGCACCAGGCCAACCTGGCAGATCACAAGTCAATCACTCCACCCTCAGTTGGGCAGAACAGCATGCAGTAGCTCTGACACAGGTGGAGAGAACTCTATTACACCAATTTAATGCAATGATGCCCAAGACGTAAAGTAAGGGAGAGACGTTCATGTTCTCTGTACAATACATCCATTTACAGAATCGGCCAGTACTGTGTACAACATATAAATACATGATAAAACATTAGAGGTGCATAGAGCATACTTACAGAAGCCAAAAAATTCACTTTATACATCCAAGGGTAAAGAGTTAAAAATATAAAAATAAGAAACACACACTGCTTTAAAATGTAAAATGACTTTCACATACACAGGTGTGTGGAGATGCCCACTCCCATGAGTCCAAAGTGACAGGGAGGGTATCAGGCAGAGGAATTCAACTGCCAAACACCTGGACATCTG